GTACTACGCCATCTTCGGGTTGGTTTGGGCCCGAAGAAGAAGGAAAAAGGATCATGAAAGTTCGATGTTATTCGAGCCAAGGCACTCCTAGTTTCTATATGAGGCCCATTGAAGGTCTCATAGTAATTGTTGACATTGACAATGGTGAAGTAATCAAAGTTTTGGACACAAGTCCAAAAATTCCAATTCCAAATGGTGAGAACACGGACTACAGATATATGTCACAAGACAGGCCTCCACAAATGGTACCACTTAATCCAATCTCAATAGAACAGCCTAAAGGCCCAAGTTTTACGATCGAAATGGACACAATGTTAAATGGGCCAATTGGGATTTTCACCTAAAGGCGGATCAACGAGCAGGAATAGTCATTTCTAGTGCTCGAATTCGAGACTCAGAAACTGGTGAACCAAGAAGTGTAATGTACAAAGGATTTGCTTCAGAATTATTTGTGCCATACATGGAGATTGATGAAAATTGGTATTTTAGTTCATATATGGATGCTGGTGAATTTGGGCTTGGGGCAACAGCAATGTCACTTGTGCCACTTAATGATTGTCCAAGATATTCCTATTTTATGGATGGGCTTTTTGTTACTGCTGATGGTAAGCCATTTGTTCAGCCCAATATTATTTGTGTGTTTGAGAGATATGCTGGTGATATTAGTTGGAGACATTCTGATCTTCCCATTCATGGCTTTGAGGTAAGAAATTGCAAATTCTCAAATGAGTATGTTATTAAATCCTATAAAAGAGAGAAAAATATGTTCACCTTTTTTTTTTCCTTCTATTTTTTGTTAGGAGCAAATAAGAGAAGCAAGACCAAAGGTGACTCTAGTGGCTCGAATGGCTGCATCGGTTGGAAACTATGACTACAATTTTCGATTGGGAATTTCAAACTGATGGTTTAATTCGTGTTACGGTAATTACTTGCTTACTTAATTAAAGGGCAAGTGTACATATAACCATTTTCAAGAATTTTATTTAGAGATTAGCCGGTATTTATTTTGTCCTGAAACTTTAAACAAAATTTTTTTAAAAAACTAAAATTCAGGACACACTGGCTAATTCCTACATAGTACCCTTTTAAAGTGGCTACCTGGTGTCATTTCTACCTAATTATATACAAACTCGTGACACTGCAATTTGAATTATGACTTCTTAACTATAAAGTTGGTTACATTCATAAATAGGTTGGCTTATCTGGAATGCTAATGGTAAAAGGGACTCCACAAGAAAGCACAAATGAAAGTGACATATTTGGTCCATTAGTTTCAGAGAATGTGATTGGTGTGGCCCATGATCATTTTATCACATTTCATTTGGATATGGACATAGATGGCCCAACTAACTCATTTGTTAAGGTTGATCTTGTGAAAGAAGAAAATCCATCAGTAAAAACACCAAGAAAAAGCTATTGGAGAGCTAAAAGGCAAGTAATTGAGAAAGAGAAAGATGCTCAAATTAAGCTTAAGCTTTATGAGCCATCTGAATTTCATTTCATTAATCCTTTGAAGAAATCAAGAATAGGAAATCCAATAGGGTACAAGATTGTTCCAAAGGGTAATGCAGCTAGTTTACTTGATCTTGATGATCCACCTCAAATTAGGAGTGCTTTCACTAACAACCAGGTATGAACTATGTTGAAGACATATTTAAGTAAATAAAAATATTTTTTTTTAAATGACTTATACTTTCAAAGAAAATGATCGAGCACTTCAACATGGTATTAAAACATGATGGGGTTCTTATCATTTCATCGAAATAAGGATATTAAAAGCTAAAAGCTAGCTTTAGACTTTTGTCCGGCAACTAGAAAAAGATCTTTGTCGTCATTGTGGACTTCTACTAATCGAATTAAAGTGTTTAGAAAAGATTGGTATTATTATACTTGTTATGTTCTATGGTTGCGCGGACTTTCTAAAATGATGGCGCACTCATGTCAGATCCTCCAATAATACAGTACTTTTGAAAGATCTGGCATGCATCCGACGATATTTTCGGAAAGTCCGAGCAACATAGGTAATGTTATTAATACTGCAATTAACATTTGTTTCTGAATGATAGATATGGGTAACTCCATACAACAAATCTGAACAATGGGCTGGTGGGCTGTTAGTTTATCAGAGCAAAGGAGAAGATACACTTGCCGTTTGGTCCAACAGGTATGAAAAACATGGTAAGTAGTTTTTTGACTAGCTAACATCAAGCAGCGAAATCACTATCTTAATACATAAATTAATATACCAAACTATACCTAATGATATAAATAAGTCATGTAAGTTGGTTAGAAAAGGACCACTACCATTTAATTTGCCATAAAAATGAAGGAAAAAACTAGGCCAAAATTATTGAGCTTATGATCATGAAATCTTTTATGTTTTATTTGACAGAAATTGTGAAATCAAAGAGAAGGATATTGTATTGTGGTATACGTTAGGATTTCATCACATACCATGTCAAGAAGATTTTCCAGTTATGCCAAATGTTACCTCTAGCTTTGATTTGAAGCCTCTCAATTTCTTTGAAAGGAATCCAATACTTAGGGCCAGGCCCAATTTTGATGTAGACTTGCATGTTTGCCGTTTCACTAATTAGTGCAAATTTATCATTTGTAGCTATTTTTGAAATTTATAGTAAATCCATAAAACAAGTGATTAATTATTATGATTAGAGTATTTGCTTAGTTGGGGGCTTTCTTTTGTCTTCATCACTGCCTAAATAAGAGCATTTGGTTTTCTGTAATTCGCCTTGGTTGTATTTGTTGCGCGAACGAATATAATCGATACAGGTTGTATCCTTTGTATACACCCTTGTATATTGCAACAATAACTACAAATGGTAATTAGACAAATTATAATTACTAAGCTCTAAATTATAGCGCTTTATGAAAATTCCTCTTTTTTTTCATCCTTTTTTGTTAATATTTCATATTTTCATATTTTTGGAGAAAGTTAACAGTAGTGAGATGTAATTTTTTTGCATTTCCTTACCGCCTGCACCTTGATTCTAATATGAGAACGAATCCCTTTTTTAAAGAAATATTAATATAGTTATTGAAATAACATAATGTGACCTGACTCTTCCTCAAATATCGCGCTCACGCATAGTTAAAGTGTTGTGCATTGGATTGGTGAGAAGAAACTGTACTTATATANAGCGCTATTGTTCAGGGTTACAACAGAATTATAAACCAAATACTTTATCTAAAATACCAATTTCTTTATAAAGAAAAATTAATATAGTTATTGAAATAACCTCAAATATCGTGCTCACGCATAGTAAAAGTGTTCTGCATTGGATTGGTGAGGAGAAGCTGTACTTATATATATTGCATATTTATAACTCGACAATTGTGTTGAAATAGTAATGATAAATGCTCAGCGTTATTGTTCAGGGTTACAACAGAATTATAAACCAGATACCTTAATAGTAGCGATACCTTTAATAGGGGCGGAACTAGCACAAAGGATACGGGTTTGACCGAATCCATTTACTTTGGTCAAAATTATATATTTGTCTTAAAAAATTTATGAAATACATACAAATTATTAATTTATAGCTCAATGACTTAGATTAAATACAATTCCAAACTAAAAAATTTTAAATCTTGATTCCGTCTCTGACCTTCACTAGCCTAGATCCGCCTCTGTTCATGCTCAAAGTTTGCCTCCCATGAAAAAAATAAAAAAATAGTAACATTTTATAAATCTTGTAATGTTAATTTAATTTGGATAATAATTAAATGAGTGATTGCATCAGCAGTTCATAAGCATCTCATTCACCAATTCATAAATATCTTTTCTTAATCAGCTGTCCACTCCACTCCATATGTTTATGCATGGATTTCCACAAATGTTGGAAGTCGAGATGCAAGTTGCTCATTTGTGGAGCCCGCCACCAATATTCAGTCCAATGACTCCAAAAATTAAAACGTCAAATTTAATGTTTATTTTTCTAGGAGATACATATAAATTATATATTAATTATACATAATTATATATATTTTATATATAAATTATATATATATATATATTCGTCAACTATTTTTAGTTTAAAAAATTAGATGAACGACGAAATGGATTAATTCTTTAAAATTGAAATAACCAAAGCACTGCTGAAAAGGAAAGAAGGCATGCTAGTAGTTAAGTTGTTACTCTCTCCGACTATCCGTTTTCAATTATATTTTCTTATTGATTTGCTAAAAAGAGAATGATATATTTATATATATAAAAATAACTTAATTTTAAATTATTTAATTTACTCTTAGTAAGAAGTTTTTAAAGCTATACAAATATTATAATATATTTACGACCATAATTTCAAAAGTTTTCATTTCAAAAAATCTAATAACTTGAAGTATAAGAGTATTTATCTATAGTACTTTTAACTCTCTCGTAAATGTCTCACTTAAAAAGAAAAAAAAAATAATCGACTTCTATTTTTTCTAAAATATATAATAATCCATAAGAGAACAGATTTCTTAAGTGTTTTACTTTATACAATTCTCTCTGTCCGAAAAGTAAGTGTTTTACTTTATATTTTAAGTTGTTCCAAACTTCTGCCCACTTTGCCTAAAACACTTATTCCCAACTAAACACTTTGTCGGCGTTCTATTATCGTTTGCAATTTATTTTTTGCAATTTATTTTAATAATGAAAAGGTTCAAATTGGGCTGTCAATAATGTTCGTGAAAAGCAACGATCAATCCCATAATGACGAAATGAGTAGATATACACTACTATCTTGGTAAAGTTTGATACAAAATGTACTTTGATGAAGACATGCACTAAACTTTTATCATACAAGCTAAGTTACGTTAAGAAGCAATAAATTAAAGATAATAGCATATCAAAATGACAGATTCCAAAAAGAAAAAAAGATACCCAGAAAGAAAATAATTCATAACCTATAAATTAAGTCCATCTCTCATACGTAAGTTAGCACGTCACATTCATGCGATAACCATAATATATTTCTATACTTTTTCTCTGTTGTTTCTGATTTTTCTATTTGTCTGTTTGTACACTACTTCTCTAGCTAGCTTTGTGTATATATTTAACACCATAGCTAGCCACCACATGAACCAGAGTAGCAGAGAAAATTAACAAAATTAAACATCAGTAGAAATGGAAGGAAGAAACTTCCTTAGATATATTTTCTTTCTCATGAGCATAATCTTACTCTTATTTTTCACCTTTTTAAACTTACCATCTCCTCTTTCTCACACAGCTGAGTTATTGGACTGCACCACTTACTCCCCGTGGTGCAGTTCAAGAAAACCTTTTTTTCCCCTAAATTCCAGGAAAGACAAAAAACACGCGGATTTCCCAAATCACCCTTTAGACCCACTAACCATACAAGAAATTCAAAAGGTGAAAAAAATTATTAACTCCCTCGAGGGTTTTAAAATAAAGGGTAGTTATGTACTTCATTCTGTGGTACTTGAAGAGCCAGAGAAAAAAGTGGTGTTGAATTGGAGAAAAGGTCAACGGCTTCCGTCGAGGAAGGCGTCGGTCATTGCACGTGCTCACGGTGGTGTGCACGTGCTCACCGTGGACATTGCGACGGGTCGTGTGACCCGCCGTGAAATGGATCATCTTTCGGGTTATCCGATCTTGACGATCGAGGATATGATCACGGCGAGAGTTGCCCCACTTGGTAACTCTGATTTTAACCGTACGATTATCCAGCGTGGCGTTGATTTGGCTGATCTTGCTTGTTTGCCTATCTCCACTGGTTGGTATGGTGAGTGTCAATTTTCTTATATTAGAAGTTTGATGGTGAAATTCTTACTATCGTTACAATTTAGGTGTGTTTGTTTTTGGTTTGAGCATGATATGATAAAGTTTGTCTTATTGTATTCAATAAAATTGGCAAAACGGAGGTGAACTTGAATTTAATGAATTAAAAATCTACTTTAAAATGAAAGTAGAGCCGAATCTATTGTAATTTTAAAATTATGAATTCAAACTTATTTTTTTGTTATAGTTATTGTAAATTTTTACACATATTAAATTTATACTACACATGAAAAGTGATGAACTCATATGAACTCGATGTTATAAAGTTGTATCTGGCTTATATACCTTTTTTTTTAATATAATAAACTTAGAAAAGTTTTGTATATGAAAAGTTTTCATTTTGGTGAAAGTGTTTCCGATTTTTAAGCAATTAAAAATAGAAAATAATACAAACATCTTTTTGGCGAAATTACGAGAGGTAAAAATTATTCTCACTGATGTGTACATGCACTAAATTATACCATCATAGTTAAGTAATAGATTAAGCTAATAAATAATGTGTATTAGTAATTAATTTCGCTTTGATGGAGACCTATGTGAAGATACTTCTATAATTGTTGAGTTGTACAAAGATCAGATTTTGGATAAGTTTTTTCCATTATCAGTTGCCTCCCTTTTTGTTTTGTGACATCTGACATTAGATACTTGTCTGCATACTGCAATATTTAATAAGTCCTTGGTAGGTATGGAATATAAGTATATATTAATTATTACTTATTGTCTGCTTAATGATGAGACACGTACTTAGTGGTTTTAATATATACAGTTGTTCATTGTTAATTAATTTTGCTTTATTTTTATTTTCAGGAAAAGTTGAGGAGAAAAGGAGAGTAATTAAAGTACAGTGCTACACAATGAAGGACACAATTAATTTCTACATGAGACCCATTGAAGGACTAACAGTACTTCTCGATTTAGACACCAAACAAGTTATAGAAATTTTAGATGAGGGAAAGAACATACCAATACCAAAGGCCGCCGACACAGACTATCGTTTCTCTACTCAAAAAAACACACAAGCGCTAAACTTACTAAAGCCAATATCTATCGAACAACCAAACGGTCCAAGTTTCACTATAGAGGATAACCATATAGTGAAATGGGCAAACTGGGAATTTCACCTCAAACCCGACCCGAGAGCCGGAGTGATTATATCCCGGGTCATGGTCCAAGACCCGGATACGGGGAAAATGAGAAATGTTATGTATAAAGGGTTTACGTCGGAGCTTTTTGTACCGTATATGGATCCTTCGGATGCATGGTATTTTAAGACGTATATGGATGCTGGAGAATACGGGTTCGGGTTACAAGCTATGCCACTTGACCCGTTAAATGATTGCCCACGTAATGCATATTATATGGATGGTGTGTTTGTGGCAGCTGATGGAACGCCATATGTTCGTTCGAATATGATTTGTGTGTTTGAAAGCTATGCTGGTGATATTGGATGGCGACACGCTGAATCTCCCATCACTGGTTTGCCCGTAAGTGAATTATAATACTCTTTTAGGGTAATTTCAAGTAATCAGTAACGGAGTTAGAAATTTTACTAATTAAGAGGTATAAAAAATAAATGCACATAAAAATAAGAAGAGTCAACGTATAATATATATACATAAAAATAATTTTAAACAATATAATTTTTCGATGAAAGGATGTTAATCTAAGCATAAGGTGGCATCGCCACGGCATGTAATATCATTGGACCTTCTGGAATTTTTTGTCACAGTAAAATAACTGAACCATGTATTTAATTGTTCAAATTAAAGAATATAAATGATAAGATCAAATTCCCGGCATCAGGTTATGACGTCACTGATCTTGCCAATTCTTTGCTACTCTGTAAATTTTATGTTAAAGAATAAAAAATGAATTCGGCAATTAATGTAAAATTTTCGACTATCTATATTTGAAATAAAAAGCAGTTAGAGTATATTGTTAGTAAACAAATTCCGTATCATAAGTTTATATCCTAGTGACTTTTTGGCTACTAGTATTATTTAGTTACATCTCTTATTCTGCGGTTAACTATGTCGAAAACTACACCCATTTAATTTTTTCCCTTCTCGTTCTCTTATCCTACAATTTCTCAGAAGTACATTAACTCCATGTGGAACCATTTACTTGAAAATTGGATAGAAAAGGTGGGGTTGGGGTGGAGCCACAATAGAAGTTATGTATTCGGTAGAATTTAATAATTTTGGCTTAAATTTTATATTTGTATTAAAAAATATTTAATATATATATATATATA